TTTACTCAGAAAGTGTTATCCCAATTATAACATTTGTTGTCAAGAAAACACAATAAATGTATATTCGGCTTTGGATGGGTAATGATCTCACAGACATATACGAATATTGATGATGACTTGGAGGAGCTTCGTAACGCACGTCTTCTCCATTCAGGGATTGGTAAATCCAAATATGTGTGTGCGCGTGCGTGCGTGCGTGCGTGCGTGCGTGCGTAAATCTGGGCCTGTTAGATGTTACATAAAACATTCATCTTTAGCGGGATGGTAGTTCGAGTTGGATTAGCATGTTAACTATATGATCTTCTTTAGGCAGAGAATGCCGCGCATGAATGTATTGATGAAATTCCTAGGTACATGGGGCCTTTTCGTCCCCAGGAATACCCACAGTGGAGACTTCAATGGGGATAGGGTGTACACAATGTGCTACCTGGTAGATTGTGTGTCATCAGACCGGACAACGTTGGTCTTTGACTGATTGTGGCGGAAAACACACTTATTCATTTACTTATATCGGAAATTGAATGTTCATCTTAATTGTTATTGTTGAACATGTAATATATTTTTAAAGAAATAAAACAGTGACATAATAACTACAACTTGATGTGAGCGCGAGTAGCTTTTTTGGAATGAGATGAATAAGTCTTATAAAGTTGTAAGCTTCTTCACAACCGTGTAACTATGAATTGACTTTATTGGGTAATCAAAAAAGAGATAGGACCTAAAATAGCCAAATTTCATACGATTTCACTTGTCCACCATCTTTGATGCAAGGCGAAAACATTTCAGCGCGTTTGAAGCCACTGAGAATGCCCCCTGCAGAGTTGGACGAACATTCTGCGGTGGCGCGGCTGAGTTGACCAGAGGCTATCAGCAGTATTTCCTGTCCAGGTTATTTAGGTCAGGTCATATATGATAGATTTAGCAACAAGTAAGGTCATCTTGAGTGGGAGGGTATTCGCAGATGGATTAGCATATGAACTATGATTCTCTTTAGGCAGAAAATGAGGATCCACGATGTTCGACCTGGTAGAAGTGTGTTATCAAACCTCACAGCATTGGTTTTTTGACTGACTGTAGCGTCAAAAGAAACTGATTCATTTACTTGAACTGAATGTTCACCTTAATTGTTATGGATAGTCACGGAGCCATGATCCAGAGAACAGGGTGTCATTAGATAGAAATAAACTAAGTAATAATAGGATTACCAGAAAAACGGGGTTTTACACACAAGCCAATAAACTTCGCTCACTAACACCAGAGTAAGTCAGTACAAGATTGAAAACTGCCCCATAATTATGTATAACATGCTTTTCGGGTATTGCAACATGTATATGTGAAAACAAAGTTATTAAAATGAAGAGTAAAACTGATGAAAGTTAACAATAAACGTGTATACGTGTTATATCGTCACTGCACAAATACTGATTGTTTGTCTTTAGTATTAACATTCAAATACGTTATATCTGTATTAGCGATATTGTCTTTGTTCCACCGGGGAGTCAGCGTTAGCCGTACTATCTCGTAGTATAATTGTATTTCTGAAGACATCACGATACAGTTTTTACGATGCATCACGTCTGCACTAGCGCTTGATAACAGCCTTATGTTTGGGTGTTTCAGTGGTTTAAATCGCTGCTCTTGATATTGTTGATTAAACTTTGATACTATGAACAATATAATGTTATGTGAGAGGTTGACTTTAGAACGGTAACATACTTATAGTATATAGGATGACATAAACAGAACAATGAGAAGTTCGTCCAGATTAGTGTATAGGCAACATTTGATAATTAAAATAATTACATTCAACAACTCCCCTGACTTTTAAGTAAATGCAAGAACAATCGGCCGGAATACAATGTATAGTTCTTGTCCACTTCCATATGACTATATAGCATACAATAAGCTATCGGGTCCTGTTTAGATCGGTTTGGGTGGCAGCCTAGATAGCCATAGAATAGTTTCATCTTGGAATCTCCCATATCACTGGGGATCCTCTTCAATTTAAATGGAGTTACTCGTTACGATTCCGAACCTTAACGTGACTGTGTTTATGAACCATTGTCAAATAGTGGTGACATTAAATCTAGGAAACAATACGCGAAATCGCGCATGCACAGAACGGAAAATTTGGTCAAGGCATTAAGTAATCCGCATGCGCAGAACGATTGATTTCAGTACTTCCGCTAAGCGCTTCGAGTGCAGCGTCAAACGCGGGCCTGTAATCTAACACGCGGGGACTGACCAATGAAATCTGAGAAGTAGAAATACCGGTAGACGCTGTTGCTTGATTGACAATGTCAATCAAGAAAGGGAGGAGCTTTACGCTATCGTTCTCTCCCAGTAAATTCCGATGTCAAATAACGACGTTATTTGGACGGAAAAACGATGGTTTGAAAACGTCCAAATAACGTCGTTTTTCCGTCCAATGACCATATACGGAAAAAAACGACGTTTTCGTGTTTGCAGTGATGGATTTGTATTTCTAAATTATTACTGAACAAAATAGGAACTTCTCTTACATTTGACTTGTAAGGCGTTATTATACTTTGAAGTCTCCAATCATTTCTCATTAAGTTTTGATTTCTTTAGAAATATAAATTTCTTGAAGACACATTGTCGAAAATGTTTTCTTTCGGCAAAGGTTCATTACTTCTTTACGTTTTCTTTTATCTGCTAGGCCCTTGCAATTTGCTAAAAATATTCTGTCACCCATATTCATTTTTTCCGAACTCAACAGGCTCATATTGTTGTCAAGGTTGTTATTTACATCAACCATTGGTTCATAACCTACAAAATTGAATGTTTTTTAATGTTTGTGAGAAAAACCGATTGTATGAAAACATAAAAAACAAAACAAAGTTGACAGGGAAGCGTTTCCACAAGCTACATCCATCATGGGTATTATGAATAAGACAATATTACCATGGCCAGGATTGGGTGTTAATATATCCATCAACTGACCTGTTCTCAAACTGGGCCAACGAATAGAGGTAACCACCGTGTGAACATGGTGAAGCGAGAGAATAGCAAGTCAACACAAGAATATGTTTCTAATGGCATATTCAAAATATTATCTTCAGGCGAACAATAATCGAAAATTGTTTGACTAGACATCAGATTGCGCTACTCACCCATCGGCATTATGGCTCTCTGTTCCATGCGGAGTGTACCAATCACGTGATCTGTAGTACCGGTACACGTCATGGATAATTATAGCGTTAAACGTCAAAAGTTAGTAGCAAAGATTCTATCTTACATACACTTATTTCAGTCAGTGTCGAGATGCAAGAAAGATTCATAATCTCACGAACTTGGACGTGTAAGTTTCATACGGGCGAGGTTCTTGATAAAGTAGTTATTTTGAAAACATAGTCACATGACACTCACCATATTCTATCAATAGAAACTTCCGTTTCAGAGTGATAATACGAGCGTCACTGACCGTCATTCTATCATAAATTGACCAAAGTCACAATAGATGCACACTTCACATCATCCATGTTGCACAAACATAATGGAACTGTAATTTGCATTAGTGCAAATATCACAGAGCCACACCATAATATATTCATCGAGACTGATATGTAGCCACGGTCGGTCTGCATTATTCATTTACTGGAGGATGATGTCTTGCCATTTTCCCGTCAGCACTTTATTTTGATCTTCCGTATGGATATAGTAATTAGTTTGCTATACGTGTTAAATCTTAAAACTATAAGCCTCATTTCTCTCTCCCCACATCTCTCTCCCCTATCCATCAAATGGTCGGTCCCTCATCAACCATGCCTTGTAACGATACATACATATTTTATCATACTAAATCCGAAGACAAAACTAGCGGTACTGATAGAACCTAGGGAAGGATACTCCATGCATACATGTTTATTTTAATTCCGTCAAATTTTCAACACATAATCAAGGTGAGTATGGCACAATTCCATTTAAGCCTTAAGCCTTAAGCCTTTAAGTATACTCACTCTTGGCATAGCATGTTCTCGATTTGTTATTCGTGAGGGCTACAATGTTGGGCCCTCACTCTATGAAGGTTCATACTCCAATGAACTCACACAAAGTTAAAGTCAATTCTTATAATTATTTTATTACAATTCCTTACCTCAAAGGATGTAGGCCAAGATCTAAACACAATTTTATTTAGTACGTGGGACTTCATGTTTACACTGACATCCATACAACAAAAGATAAACGTGACCCGAGAGATTTCCGAAGTTGTTAATAAACCTGTGGCGGTTACATGTGTTAGTTATCATTGATCAACTGGCCGATCACGTGAGAGGTAAAAAAAGATGCGTCAAACAGACACAATGGTAAATTCATAGATTGCTGGAGACGGTCAATGTTTGCCTAGGCACGGATCGAGTCGAAACTACGATAGTTTAGATGTGCATTTCTTCGTTTGTTCATTAGGATAGGCCGTAGCGAGGATATTCGTGAACAATCATGCAGTCACGCTCTCTGACATTTCTCAATGTATACTGAAACGCTGAGACCAAGAATAAAGATTCTAAATGATGAGAAAGAACGCTTATCCATGTTTTCGTGCTAGGGAATTCCCAGGGGTTTCCTGGGAATGTGGAAGTAGTCTGTCAGTGTTTACGTCATTTCAAGAACACGGTCTCGTGAAAAACGTATGAACGTCAAATTGTGTCTTTCATACGCTTATGAACGTCAATTTCGGGGTCATGTGACCGACCTCTCGTCCAATGGGAAAAGCCATATATCGTGTAAACTAAATTAAAAAATATTATGTTATAATGTATATAAGAAAGCAAGTGTGGTTTAACTTCACATTCAGGCAATATAGTAGCTATATAAATGGGAGGAATTTGCACCATATCTTTTTTCGAGTGCATGACGAGCTGGTGTTCTAACAAGTAAGCTACCCAACTGCACCCAATTATACATATACCACCTGATAAAACACCTGAAATCATGTTTCATATAATAACTATCAGACTTTCTAAAAAACGTATACTCACTCTTTGCAAACGCATTTCTTGAAGAACTGCCTGAAACTGAGGGAATATTCATGTTATAATGCATTTAACGCCTCCTTTATAAAGACTACATCTGACGAGTCCTTGTTTTTATCACTTAATGCAGAGCGCAGAGAAACACCAAGTACCATCTTTTGGTATGTCCTGTACGAGGATCGAGCAACCGACTTTCAACTCTCGGGGAAGACGCTCTATTCACTACACCACAGAGGAGGTGTGGTAACTAACCCTACATCATTCGTAGAATGTGAAAAATAGAGAAGTTGTTCTGAATAATTTGGATCAAACATAATTTTCATTTCGCCAAGTCCAATGGAACGTTTTTCAAATTTTGAATTTAGAAAAAAATCCATTTAACGATTTCAACAAATCAGGTTGCATCACAGATTTCAATTCGTTTAACAACATATGAAAGTTTAACCGACCCAAGAAAGCATACTTTAATGAAATAAATACAAACTATTGAATTGTTGGAAGACATCTGGGCACACTTGTTGATTGTGAGTACAATATACAGATTTCCATTCATTTACCAACATATGAAAGTTTAACCGACCCAAGAAAGCATACTTTAATGAAATAAATACAAACTATTTAAGTGATGGAAGACATCTTGGCACACTTTATTGCTGGTTATAAATACAGTATAAGGCAAATGAAAGTACCCCAATGAAATGCACCCAATGGTCACCTCCCTAAAGTAAAGCCCACATTCCACCATGTGGGTGGTCAGCAGTACCGGTAGCTGTCAAGCCTCCAGCCAACAAAAACCATTGACATGAGAGGAGTAAGTGAGTGAGTATGGTTTTACGCTTTTAGCAATATTCCAGCATATCACGGCGGGGGACACCAGACATGGGCTTCACACATAGTACCCATGACAGCAATCGAACCCGGGTTTTCGGCGTGACGAACGAACGCTATAACCACTAGGCTACCTAGGCTACGCCCCTGACGTGAGAGGAATAATAGAGAGGGGCACCGTCATCGACCACTCGGCCAAACAACCACGCACGCCTATTAGACTTTCGTCATCTTACTCATGATTAAACATTAGGATTTCTATGCAATCTTTGTCTTGTTTCAGTTATTAGTCATAGACTAAATGTGGCATAGTGATGTTGATCCCGGCAGCCCTGAAAGAAGAAAAAAACACAAACCTCAGAAATATGCTGGAGTGACAAAAATAAACACCATTCCCAAATATGCTGACAAAGCATTTTAACTAATGGTTTAAAAAATGAGGGAAGGGAGGGAACTTAACGCAATGGAAAACAGCGTCGTTTTGCCTCGCCTGACTCATATCGTGATGCACCAAGCAATACTTATAGAAAGTAGTTTCCCTTTGACCACGAAGTAATACGTTAATGGTTTCAAATTATTTTCTCTGCAGATGCAATTTGATAAAATGTATTACCAACATTTGAAAATTTAACAAACCAAAGGAAAGCATACTTTGATGAAATATATACAAACTATTGAATTGTTGGAAGACATCTGGGCACAGTTTATTGCTGATTGTGAATACAAAATATATAATATTTTGACCTCCCTTTAGTTAAGCCCACATTACACTTTCTGGTGGTTACCAGTACCGATAGCTGTCAAGCGTCCAGCCTACTAAACCAATGACATAAGAGGAATAATAGCAAGGGTCACCATCACCGTCATCTATTCCATTCAGCCAAACTCCTGCATACATATTAAATATCAAATATGAGCCCTCTATGCACCTTCCCTTTAACAAATGTACCATACAAATTAGACCGGCAGCCCAGAGCACTTTGGTCAAACGAACAAGGTACCAATAACCGAACACAGTAACATTTACTGTGTAACCCAACATATTCATATATGAATGTCTGCCGGGGAGCCCCTGCTGCGTGTGGCCCCTGGCCCCCCAAAAGAAGGGTCCATTCAAGGGTTGGATCAAACATTGGAGGTACCACATGAAAGTAAGTGTAAATGAACTGGTTTATCTCACAGAGTACAGAATGGGCCACGCCAGACAAATCTTCCTCTGCATAAGGCCTGGCAGACACCCCCAGAGAGGGTCCCAAAATTTGGGCTGGGTTAAACAATGGAGGTACCACATGAAATCAACATAAAATGAACTATTACACTCTACTAAGTATAAAATACCCATTGCCAGACAAATCGTCTGCTGCATAAGGCCTGCCAGACACCCCAAATGTTGACCCTTAATGCACTCAGTGGACACACTGGTAAAATTTGACTGGAGTATACATTCAAAGTACCAGATGAAAGTAAGTTTAGATGAACAGGTACATGTTACTGAGTACAACACGGCCCATACCTGACAAATTTTCCTCTGCATAAGGTCCGCCAGACCCCCCAGAGAGGGTCCAAAAATTTGGGCTGGGTTAAACATTGGAGGTACCACACGAAACTAACATAAAATGAACAATTGCACTCTACTTATTGAACAATACCCATTGCCAGACAAATCATCTTCTGCATAATGAGTGAGTGAGTGAGTTAAGATTTAACGTCACATCGGCAGTATTTCAGCCATATCGTGACGAGAACTACATTAATAAGACATATATGGAGACGAAATAAAAACCTGTCAACGATGGACAGTACAATAACTAGTATATCACAGTTTTGATTTAAAACTAGTTGAGAATATTAAAAGTTAATAAGTATCAGAGAACAGCACAATATAAAAATGGGCCAGAGATCGTCAGTCACTGAAGGGTGATCACCATACTAGGGACCTTTGGGACTTATAGTACCTTAGCTTCCTGCATGGACCCCGGCAGGATCTTCTGCATAAGGCCCGCCAGACACACCCTCACCCCACCCCACACAGTTGACCCTCTGTAATCCCAGTGTGCATAATGAAACATTGGACATCAGCTCTGAGAGTCAACAGATGGTCAAATTTATGTTTTGTTCTTAACGATGGAAGGATTTTATTGAGATTAACATCACGTATTTATAAATTCCGGTCTCTGAATACTAGTATTGATATCATAGATTAGGTCTATCGTTGAAATGTAATGAAAATGGCATGAATCTGAATCTTGTGAATATATATCTGATCAGCTATGAAGTCCTCAAAGCCTGCTACAGACTGATAGCTTGGCTACGGATTCCTACAAGCCAGATAGGCATATGATGCTATGTGCCATGATTTTTATATACTGAACACCAAAAGTTCCTGTGACATTGAATAAAATTTAATGCAAAGTTATGTTTTTACCAAATCTGAAACAATTTCGGCTTGCAACAGATAAAAGACTCCTGTAAGTGTTCAAATGGTTTTAATTTGTCATACTGATTTCGGAAAATGCGTGATTTCATTTAAAAATACCATGTACATGCCAAAATGTCAATTTACAAATCAATAGCGTGTGTGTCCGCCTCTGGTTGCGATGCAAGCAACACATCTTCGTCTCATGGAATTGACCAGGCGTCGCACAAAGATCTGTGGGATATCTGTCCATATCTGCTGGAGCATGTTTCGAAGTTCCTGGAGTGTCTGTGGAACACGTGGTTGACGTCGAAGGCGCCGATCCATCTCATCCCACATGTGCTCGATTGCTGATAGATCAGGGGAGCGAGCCGGCCAGGGGATGACATTCACGTTGCTTTTGTTGAAGAGATCCTGAGCAAGTCGAGCAATATGAGGCCGGGCGTTGTCAGGTTGAAAGGTAATGCCTGGGCCATGACGACGCAAAAACGGTAGAACAACAGGGCCGATGATCTCGTCGCGGTAGCGCTGTCCATTGAAAGCACAGCCACAATTTCATGTTTCACAACATTACCCCAAAGAAGAAACACTTCAACAGATACACACTGATTGATTCCTTTCCTCTTCCTGTCCATCGCTTCACCAGAATCATCCCCTTTCCGTGCCCACCTTGATAAAATCTCAGGCCACACGATGATAGTAAGAGCAATAGCCAATTCAGTTACTTTAGGTCTGTGACGAAGATGTCTTACTCGTTCTTGACAACATAACCAAGTCATTTGAGCCTTAATGTACTAACAACATTGTTGGCGGTTCTATGACTTTCATCTTCTGCCTAATGAACGGACCCCAAGATTTAGTTGTATCAGAGTTGATGCACATCAAGTTGCCGCCCCAATCCGTAAGGAATGTGACTTGTACGCATCAGAGCATAGATCAATGAAGCTTCTTCAGGAGTGCTGTAAATTGGCTATCTGTTGACACATGAACCATCTGCATGAAAGAATGATTTAGATAAGTTGGTTACTTTGGGACCCACCCGCCTGTCCTGTTGCGAGTTGATGATCAACGTACAGGATAGACCGTTCGGATCCATTTTGGAATGCCTAACACTTAATGTAAGCTGCTTCCAATGCAGCATTATGTCCTGCGTCAGAAGTCCCATACCCCGGTTATGCCCAGCAACCTGTGCTTTTAATGCCTTGGGGTAAGCTTTCCTGGTGTTGAAAGACAAAGAATCTAGTAACCTATGAGCTTCATCTTCCATATCCTCGAGTGGTGTGGAATCAGAGACGAGCCGTTTTCGGCGTCTGGTGCCTCCGAACCTCTGAAATTATGATCTGGATTAGCTGTCTGCATTCATATGCCCTTGACTATGCAAGCCCTAACTAAGCAGGGTTTTTTTAGGCACTGCATGATGAATAATCTTACCAACACACTTGAAAGTGAGCCTGTAGAGCACATCGACCATTGCCTGGTTATCGGATTTAAACTTTATTGTTCTTCAGAAATTTACACCATATAAAAACTGACACCATGACAGGAAAGAATTCCCAAAATGTGAAGTCCGTTATGTAACCAGCCTCGTGCCATTCTGACGTCCATTAACCATTTCAGTAAAATGTAACATTTTTTTACATTTGTATACTTATCCTGCATAACCACACCCTTAACACATTTGCAGCTGCTTTTTGACAGAAAGACGGAGCTGTGAGAGGTCCAGCTGCAGAAGACGTTGTACCTTTACACAGCTGGCTTGTGATCCGGAAATGGTGACCTCACATAAGAGCACATTACT